GCTGGACGGCCAGGAGCAGGAGAAGGTCTCATAGTCAGATGCCCTGCAGGACACAAATGGGACCCCTGGCAGGTCTGGAGTCCAGGGGGAGGCAACGGTCAGCAAGGGTCCCATCTCACAGCCCAGCTAGCATGCAGGGACCCCTGTGCCACCGCAAAGTCCCCTCTTAGCAAGCCCCTTGACAGGGGTGCAAGCACTGCTGACCCATCCCGGTGGGGCCACACACTCTCCCATATCCCAGCCCACAGCCACGCTACTCACGCCCCAGCCGTAGGGACACGGTGTGCAGGAGGCCACCGTCCTGGCCATGGCAGCTGTAGGTCCCTGCAGTGGCCAAACCAGCGTAACGCCAGGGCTCCCTGACGGATGGCAGAGCCCTCTGGCAGCACCACAGCACCTGCCCGTCTCCATTGCACCGGCGAGCTGTGGAGGAGAGACCAGGCCTTTAGAGGATGGGAACAGCGGGGTGACCCCAGGCCCACCCTGTAAACCACCCCATCGGATAAATCCCACCATGTGCATGGAAAACACCTACCCAGTGCGGGCACCAGTGCACAACAGGGTCACGTCTGTTCCCACCTGTCCGTACTGCACACCTGGAGGGACACACACATCCCCAGATCGGTGTTAGCGCCCCGGAATACCCCGTGCCAGGGATGGGGGTTGAGGCAAGCTGCCCGGGTGCTGGCTGCGGGGTCTTGCTTCACACAGGACCACCATGGAGGCCTGGCAAGGACTGGTCCCACTTGGGGCTGGGCAAAGGGGCTGCAGAGGGGGGCTGGCCAGAGGACTCCCATCACCATGGGGCTGCATTTCGTGTATGCCCCGATCCTGGTAGGTCTGTGCCTGCCTTGGGGGAATGGGGTGCCTCCAGGGTCCCAATGCCTGGGATGTGGGGCTTGCACAGGAGGCTGGGGTGGGCTCACCTTCTTCTCCCCAGCCCTCGGGGACGGCGAGGGAGGCTGATGCCAGGGCTGCTGCGAGGAACACCATCACCCTGCCCAGGCCTGGGATAGGACTGCGCATCTGCAGGAAGCAGAAGGGGGAGGGAAAGGGGGTTAAGGGGGGGTACCCCGCGGGGTCCACAGCCCGGAGCCCCCCTGCAGGACCACAGACCCCACATCTCTCCCTCGTGTCATCCGATCCTGCTGCAGACAGCAGAGGGACCACACTGCTGAGACCCCATCTGGGACAGCTGGCAGGGTCTGCGCTACTGTCACAGCTAGTACCCGGCTGCCGAGGAGCCCCTGTGCCGGGAGGGGGAAGAAAAGGGCAAACATTGACCAGGAGTGGGGGCGTCGTGGGTTGGTGGGATTAAGGGCTCTTCGTCACTGCAGTCCTGAGCCGGGAGCCCTGGCTGGCTCCCAGCTCCAGGGTGGTCCAGAGACCTGCGCGGGTGCAGCTGGAGTGGGAAAGGGCTGAGCAGAAATTC